GAGAGAGAGAGAGAGAGTAAGAGCTGTAACCCAGGAACAACAAATTAAACTTGCTCCGAATTGCTTTCATTCAACCATTTAGGCCACCAGCCTTCGTATTATGGAATACCAAACATGAAAGAAACATCTACGAGATTCAAAATTATAAAATGGATTGGATTCCTTAAAAGCCTATATATGTATATGGGGGGAGAGAGAGAAAGAGAGTAACGAATCTCATGGCACCTACAATGACGAATCTGAAAGGCTCCGGTGATTAGAGAGGCGACTCTGAAAGACTCATATCTTCACCTCGCGAACATCATTTTGTCCAAATGCAGTGCCACATCCAGGGCACCTGCGATGACGGATCTCCAGATTCCTCTGGATGCACGGATAGCAAAATAGATGGAAGCACTTGGTGATCACAACCTGAGAAGAAAAAAAAGAGCAAGAGAGAGAGGTTATACTCGAGAAAGAAAATGAAACATTCGACTGTTAAAATCAAGTTGAGGTAACATGTATTGTGAAATCTTCTATATTGAACTGATCTTACTTTTCAAACATCTCAGAAGCAATATTCATTTGTTTAAATTTATAAGAGAAACAAGCTGAATAATGAACTTTTAGACATGAAAAGTGCCATACAAAACTCCCAGAATAATAAAAATCTGTTACCTCCTTTGGTCTGTCAAAACATACACCACATTTGAGAATTGCCTTGCACTCCTTGATCTCATCTTGAAGTTTCTGGATCGTAACTTCTTCACTCTCAGAACTCATTTCCATGACTTCATTTTTTACCTCAGCAAGTTCTTCCTCTAGCTTTTTCTTCTCATTTCTGGGTTCAGATTCATATATTGAAAACCAGGAGCAATAGAGCATCAGCTGTTAGAAGTAGAGCAATATATCACTAATTTAATTCAGTAGATCAGCACCTTTCTCTCTCTAGTTCCACTTTCAACTCAGCAATCTTTTTCTGGTTCCGTTCGTATTCTTTCTCAAATGAATTAATGGTTGATCTGAGCCACTTCAACTCTTTCTCGGCATCAACCAACTCCAGCTTAGTTTTCTCCAGGTTGATGTTAATGTGCCTATTTTCCATGGAAGCTTTAACAGCTTGTGTAACATGTAACTTCATCTGTATGATTCACTCGGTTAACAACCTATTTGCTTGAAAATAAGTGAAAATTCTCATGAAAATAACAAAAGAAGAAAAAAAGTACGAAAGCGAAAAAAAAAAAAAGAGAACCTGTTCTTCACTATGAGCAACTTTTGTCTTTAAGAACTCTAATGAGCTGTTCACTTGCTGGAGCTGCTTCGACATGGCTTGCTTTTCAGAAAGAAGAGAGCTATGAGTTTGCTTCATCTTCACACTATCAGAAACTAGCTGGCATACATCAGATATAACAATGATGAGCAAACAATTAATAATTCTTTTGTATATTGTAGATAGAGCAACAAATCTTCCAGATGCTATAACTGAATGGGAAAAAAACACATTAGGCAAACTGTCAATCTGATTTACACAAGAAATCAAAAGTAGGAAGCCATGTTAATGTTCATGACTCACAAAGAGAAATCACAGTTCTCATTATTTCATTAACTTCATATAATGACTCACAATTTCCCTTTCTGTACACAGACAAGTTTTCTGGTCTAGCAGATAGTTCAATTCATGAGCAATATCATTGGAGACTAAAATGCATAACCTCAATGCTTATAATACTTTTGAGACAATTTCTTTTAAATGATGAACAATGGCTGATATATTGTTCTAATTTGGTCACAAGATCTGACATTAAACATAGACAAGGGTTATTGAATATTCATATTAATTTTTGCAATGACAAGACAAAGTCATTAGTCGTGAGCATCAGACAGAAAACAAATGAACTGCACGCAGAAATCACTTTTTGCAATGATATGGTCTACAAGATCATGGCAGAACCTTGATATTGTAGGCATCTCTATCAGCAACCAGTTGAAGCAAATGTTGGTTCTGTGTCTGCATATCTTCGTATGCTTGACCAATTGTCTGTTTGGGAAATGGGATAACAAACATTTAAATATATAAATAACCAAAATATACTGAAAAGAAAAGCACACAGAAAGACCAGGAACTTGACCTCTATTTCAGAAATATAAGCCTCTGCTTCTGCATCTTTTATTCTTATGGCCTCTTGAAGCTCTAAGACATCTCTGAGCAACAAAAATAAATCAGAATAAAAGAGCATATCAACATATTACTTAGAAGGCTGAACCTAGTGCCCTCTTGTCAATGTTAGGTCTGAGGAAGACCAAGTAATGAGTCCTTAGCCCTGATACCAGAGAGGCCATTTTCAAATGTTGAACCAGGGCCACTCAGGCCGCAAAGAGCAACCTTAATGTGACACCAAGGCTCATTCACTTTCTTGTCCTACATATTGCTTCCTTAATCACTATAATCTAACTGAATTTTACATAACTACCAAGTATGGCTACAAAAAGCAACAACAAACTTTTCAACATGACAAATTATTCATTAAAAAACAACAAAAAACTTATATCTGATTGCTTAGCCCTGCAAAGCAAATTTTCACATTACGTGACATTAATAAGCAGCAATGAACTCTTCAGCGTGGCAAACTTATTCGTGAACAAATAACAATAGGTTTATGTCCCGACTATTTAGCCCCAAAATATATATTTTCACAATTATACAACATCAATATTAAAACTTCTCAACATAAATGAAATCCATCCAAAAAATTAAGCAATAAACCACAAAAAAAACTTAGGCAGAAAATAAAGGTAAAAATCATTTAAGGATGACAGAAATAAAGAATTCAAATACGTTAAGAATGGATTAATATGAGAGTTATGCTGGACCATGGCAGATATCAAACCTCTCAGAAGCATCTAACTTGGCCCTTAATTCTGGAATTCCAGCTTCAGCAGTAGAAAGTCTTTGCTGGCAAGTTGCCTCAGCATCATTTGCTGCTTTCACTCGTAACTCAAGGCTGTGATCTGCTAAAGTAGCTTTCAACAGATCAGCTTGTATATGAGCTCTGTGTTCTGATTCCTTGATTTCAACAATTGTTCTGTGCAGAATCAGAAGTTCAAATCCTTTAAATCTTTTGTCAAAGATCAAACTAAAATAGTTAGTTGAGTAATCATCAGAATACCCCTGATAGGACTAAGGCTTGTTATTGCATGAGAATACAGTGAACAACACACTAGCTAATCAATAAGAGCTATCTCAAGCATAATATATTTCAGAATGCACTTAATATTGCATATAAAATCATAACATTGAAAAACAACTTCATGCTTTAAAATGGATAACATATGAGAACATATATACCAATGTTAAACAATACGTGACAAACAAACTTCAGAACTATCAAAAGGAGTATTTTACAATTATCAAATTGACAAGTTATGTTGACGAACCTTTTACATATATAGTTCATGCACATGTCAAGCCTTATATAAGAAACAATGTGACTTTTAATCAAGTATCATTACTAGTATGTAAACATATTTTTAAATCTTAAATATCAAATGTCAAACAATTATGTTACAAGCAAACTTCAAAATTATCAAAAGGGGCACTTTACTATATTCTAATTGACAGGTGTTACATGTTGATGAATCTTTTTGCAAGAATAATTCAAGCACCTACAAATCCTTCTAAAAAAAGAAATGGACTTCCAAGCAACACGTGTCAACCATGTCATCCTATGCCAATCAGCACATACCATGTAAGCACAATTTCAGCATGCAGCCATGCCAAGGAAATGCTGATACAACACTAGCTACCACAAATCCCTTGGAGGGCAAACAGATCCTGTGTCAATCCATGCTATTATGTTCTGGGACATGGACGATGCTGGTAAACTGCAAGGTTTGCTTTTAGCATTTATTATCACCAGCATGAGCAATGATCAAGAAGATCAATAGGTCTATAAGGAAATGTTAGCTTCCAAAGCAAAAAAAGAAATTAATATTAAAAAATATTGTTATAAGACTACTAGAAAAGGAGGGCAATATATAGAGCAGACAATTTAGGAATGAACTCTGATATGTGTAAAAATGGTGTGCTTAGACTTTGCACATACCTGGTATCGAGACATTCCTGTCCATGCATATCCATGATAAATTGCAACTCCTGCTTTTCCTTTTCCAGTTTATCAACCTGCAGTTTATTTTATTCAGCAGTAAAAACCATGTGTAAATTTGAACATAATCATCCAACTATTTGCTTTGTTGCTATGGTTGATCAAGTAACAAAATTAAACCTTAATAAGCATGTTATAGATAAACATACCAGTGCTTTGAGGGATTTAATCTCAACCATTTCTTCAGCATATTTATCAGATAGGACTTTGTGTTCACTAATCTAAAAACATTGAAGACGTTAATAATACAATCAAAAGAGAAACATATTAATCTTGTCAAAAATAAAATTATAGAAGAGTTACAATTGACAATTACAGAAACTAGACTCAAAGATAAAAATAATCTAGAACACAAAAAATAAGTCAAAAAGTGTAGCAAAAATAGAAGAAATTTAGCTTCTCAAACATCATTGACCAATAATTAGTTGTAAAATTTATAAAGTCTCTGATCCCTATGTGGCATGTTCAAATTAGCTATTCTAAAACACATATTTTTTTCTGGCAAATTACAGAAACATATCTGTATGTGAAAAAAAAAATTTCAAGTTATGTTAGAAGCAAGAGATGTATGAAAGACCCAAGGATCATGTATGTTCTCTAACTTGGTGGGTTTAATGCTAACAAAAGGCATAAACAACCATATCAATGAAATTTTAAACTTTAATCAGCAACAAAATCATTATGGAACCTTAAAATCTACTTTCCAGAAAAATGTAGCAATGAGATATTATACTCAAGTCATAAACACAGGAATAGAAACTAGGAAATAATAGTTAAGCAATAATTTAGAAATCCATTTTACAATTGGAATGTTGATGCTCAAATTGTTTCCAAAATAAATACGGAGAGGATGTAGATAGCTAAAAACATGTCACAATAGACTGGAGATTATTGTCAAACCAAATGGCATATCAGAACACAGAGAGCAAGATTTGGCCAATACCCTTCTATTTAACAGAGGTCTCAAAGAATCAGCTTCTTTACGTAGTGCAAGTGCTTCGGAAGCTGCCAATTTTGACCTATTTAATTGGCTTTCCATCATCTCCATTTCTTTAGTTAATGCTGATGCCATGACATTAATTTCGTCCTTGATGTCTTTTCTACCTGAAACAGCAATAGCTTAGGTACGTCTTTAAAAGATTATGCATATTCTTAAATAAGAAAAGCTTTTGACCTAAATCCTGTTCAGCTTCTTCAAGTTTACTTTCAAGATCATTTTTTTCAACAACAAACTTTTGAATCTGAAGCTCAAGTTCTGCAATCTTTGCCTCATAATTGCTAACAGAAATCTTAATAGCATCAGCTGAGTCTGCTTTAAGATTTAATTCATTCTCCTTTGGAAGATAGTTGTTCCTGTCAACCTGAATATATATATCTTATAAGATAATTAACAATTAATCACAAAAATAACCACAAAAACACAATGTTACCTGCAAGGATTCAATCAGACCCTTGTACCGTACAAGTTCTGCATTCAGATGCTGGAGTTGATCATTTAGTAAAGTGTAGGGTTTTGATGTGACAACATAATTTTCATCCTTCAATTGGCTCTACATTAACAAAAAAGGTTCAGAGTTAAGTGTAATTTAGGACACAAACATCGAGACTAATCTAATCAGCAACGTAAAAAGCATTAAGAAAACTTCAGTATTCAAGAATATAACTTGAAGATCATCCAATTGCTTTGAGAGAATCAAGAAATCTTCCTGGGCTTCCTGAAGTTCCAAAAGACGGCTAGCTGCCAATGTCTGCCATTTTTTGGGAAAGAAAATAAGGGAGATAACTGCATCATAATGAATAATAAATTATCCCTGAAGAACAAATATTAAGCCAAATGCAAGCTTTCATTTCACCTTAGCCTCCTCAATTGAGTCTTTCAGATCCTTCAATCCCATGGTTCTATCTGCAGATTTATCTGGTGAACTGCTTCCATTTGCAGCATTTGCAATTGAAGCATGTGTCGTAGATGCTCCATGCTTATGCATCTGTAAAATTGCCAACTTGCGTCGACTTTCCTCGAGCTCTGCCATACTCTCCTCTAATTCACCTTTATCATTAAAAAAAATTTTTCAGCTCATAAAGAAAAAAAAAATGACAGAAGTAGCAAAGAAACTAAGCATAAATATCCCACTTCCTCGTAAGACTGCAAAGCCCTGACATTTTGTACACATACTGTATTTAATCCAAGGAACCAAATCTCGAGCACCCACCCCCACATTGGTCCCATATTGAACCATACAATATCATATCCATATGGCACACTGTGATATCTCATTAAAAAAATGACTATCTATTGAATTGTCTGTATGCTTTGGTACAGTATATTGCAAGATACTGAATGATGGGACTCGTTATATGGTATGGTCAGTGTCAAATTAAATCTTGTAAATCCAGAGGTCAGCTAAAGCTTGATTAGTAGAATTAGTACAAAAAGAACATGGCTTGACTTTTCATCACTACTAGTGTAACCTCCACAAAGCATAATTAAATTACTTATTTCGCCAAGCATTGTTAAAAGTATCATCTCTCTCTCTCTCCTCGAATGATCTTCCACGTTCTAGTAATTATTGGTCATCCTAAATTTGACACTATTCTGTCCACCAACCCCAAATTTGCCAACATCCCACTTGCCACCACCAACACCATTTCATATATTGTCCCTCTTCTAATTGCCACCTTCACCTCAGTGTGTGCAATGCCATTGTCATGATCTACACTAACTCTCACCTTCATTCACTTCCCTATTTCATTTTATGTCTTATCATCATCCACCTCCGACCCTCCACCCACCAATCAACATCATCTCATACGTTGTCCCTCTTCTTATTGCCATTTCCACACCTGTGTTTGCTTCGTGACGTTCAAGGATCTCCACTAACTCCATCCTTGACTCACTTCCCTAATCCATTTTGCCTCTTATCATACGTTTATTTTGTCATGTACATATCATTGCCATCACTCCTGCTATATCATGCTACACAAACCCTACCTCCTGCATTGCAAATGATGCGCTAACAATTCCACCACTATCTTCTCATCTAAATAGCCGGAAGATCTCATTACCAGCCTCATTTTTCAATAGTCATCATAAGCTCTCCTTTTTTACTATAGTTTCTTCTACTTATTGAACAGGGCTTCAGAGACTAGGACATGGCAAGCACAACCAATTAAATTATTCTTTCTTCAACACCAACTAATCTGTTATGAAAATTGGAACAGGCATCAAATGAATTTCCTGTTGTGGTATATGTTTGAAAATCAACAGTCATAAACACAAGCTGTTTGTTTTTTTTACTATGGCAAGAACTAGTTATGTTAGAACATGTGTAAGTCTCTTGCCAATTTAAGCTTCACATGGAAAAAGAATTCCATGTATTGGAGAATTAGAAGGTAGACCTTCTTAGCAAATAAATGTGGGCTATTAACAGTTAGTATAGAAAAATGCAACAGCAGTTTAGAAAACAGACTTCTAATATATGAAGATTTTATAGTGCAAAAGGTAAAACTTCATTCCAGTACCTGAAAGGCGTTTTATCTCAGATTGTGTTGTTGAAAGGCTTTCTTTGTAAGTGTTTATTTCTTCTGTAAATTGTTTGTGCTTCTCCAAGAGAATATCGGCAGATTGATGCATGTTGTTAATGACCTCTCTCAAGGATTCATCAAACTTCTGGATTTGAACAATAGCATCTATAGGCCATCATAGTGCAGAAAAACACACTAAATGCCCAACCAAATAAAAAAGGTATACAGCAAACTGTAATCAGAACACAACAAGCTAAACATGCTTCAATTCTAACCTTCTGGAGCTAGTTTCCCATGTAAAGCAAAAGATAGGCATTCATTTTTATCTCGTCGAGAAGTGATTGTCTCCAGAACATATTTCATCAGATCAATGGTGGCTGCATGGCGTGAAGCAAGTGCTTCTTGAACAAAATTCACAGATAAACTTCCACTTATTTTTACCACAGATCCTGCTCTTATAAGCCTGCAGAGAAATGTTTCTTCCGGGGGACATGATACAAGGGCATCTGGTAAAAAATTGAAAGGATCAAGCTACCACAACATAAATTTCAACAGCATAAGTGCTAGATGACAATGTCATTTCATTTATAATAAAAGAGTAAACCTCAAGAAACAACCTTTGCAGTGATCTTCATGGTCCAATGATTGTAAGTAATGCAGGTCACCACCAGCTCGTATGCCAAGCAGGATCAAATCATCAACTAACTATGATTTTGTCAGGAGTTGCAAAGAAATATGTGAAATCAGGAAAAGGACAAGTGAGAACATTATATTAAAATACGAATTAGTGCAGTCACAAGATAACCTGATTCCACATCCTGTTAACAGTCATCAAAGACTTATCATAAGAACTTTGTCTCTCCCTCAACTCTTTGAACTTCCCTTCCAGTGTGTGCATTTCAGCTTTTTGGGCCTCCAGCTGCTGAACAAGCCTTTGATTCTGGTATTGCAGGACTGCAGCATCCACCTGGACACAGAAAATTCAAAGATGCTTCCCAATCACTAAACAAATAGTTAATGCTACAGTATGTCCTAAATGATGAACCCAGTGCACGTGGCTCCCACCAATGTGAGCCTTGGTGAGGATCAATGTACATAATCCCTATATTCTCAAAAAAGAATCACTTTCAGCCACCTAATTGAGCCAAGACATGAGTTAAAACAGTAAAGAAGAATGTTAGTATAGATCACCAGCTATGATGAGTACAATAATTGTGGCAGTCCACATTGAAATTCTCACTCAAGGAAACTTACTCGCACATTAATTTATGTCACAAGGGAAGTCATGACTGATATAACAGAAATGTCTATATTTTGCCACCAAGTATATCCTTCTCTGCTTCAAATTTCAATCTTTCTATATGCCAAGTCAAGCAACTCTAAACCACAGTTCCTATTTTTTCTGAACTAATGATGCAAAATCTTCAGAATTCAAGATCAGGCCATATCAATCTTGCTTTTAAACTATCCCAGATGTAAAACTTTCTCTAGTTATCTAATGTCACTCCGAATAATTCTCGAGCAGTTTAACCCAAAAAATTCATGAAGACGGAGCTTTGCTATTGAATTTCTGATGCTCAATTTGCATTTCCATCCAGTCAAAGGAGGATTCAAAATAATTGTATTAGTTGTGGTACACCCATTAGTAATTTTAGACAAGATTGCACCAGAATCAGTATGGTTCATATGATCAATCATATATGAATTTCATTGTCACAGCACAAGGTCACAAAAACCCTCATAAGTGAAACTAGAAAAAATTTCACATTAAGTTTGAACAATAATTGATCAAGAATGGAATAAAAAAAAATAAGAAAAATTTGGACCATCAACAACAAAAACAACTTCTAAAATGGAATTTTAAGGCCTTAAGATTTAGTTAAATGGACATATAACCTAAGTGGCCTTTTCTAAAAAAAAACCTAAACGTTGAAGGAAAAAAAGCCTGAAATTAAGTAAAATCATTAAAAAAAATAGTCAAGAACAAGCAAGCAAAACCCAATCTTCGTTGAAACCTAAATTACATCAAACACTTCCATCGAGCTGCAGTCTGCCGGCAAACAAGGCACCACACGTGAGGTCACAAATATGGTTGCAACTAAACCCATTCAAAGCAATTATAACCATCATAGAATAAAGCAATCAAGGATTTCAGCTAAAAATGAAAGAAAATTAGAAGGGCACAACCTTGGACATGGTTCAAGACAGATTCAAGCATAATAACCACACATACAACAGTGGAAACCGGAAAAAGGAAAGTACAGGTGAAAAAGTAGATTGCTACACCCTAAAGATAGCAATTTCCTCGAAAAATACAACCAGGGCAAGAAGGCCAGAGACAACTGAAACGCAAGAAACAACCCTTAGAAGGAATAGCGCGAGGTACCTGTTGCCTGGTGATGGCGGAAGCCGGAGATCCCTCGTCGCCGCTGCCGAAACCGAGGCCGGCCGGTGCATCCTCTTCCATGGTTGCCGGATTGCCGCTCCCGGTCACTCCGCAAGGCTACAAGAGTCGGTGAGCGAAGGGTCTCCCCGTTTGGGCGAACCCGAACCCGTATGCATCCCCGTTTATTAAGCGCTAATCTTTGGCACAAATCTCAAGGCATCCCTAACTGCTCAAATCGCCACGAGTTCCCGAAACTCTATTGCCGGGGCAAATTTGGTTAATTATATATTATACATTGTAGTTAGACGTCCAAAAAAATTATATTAAAATTATATAATTATAAAAATAATTAATCTTATTTATCTTAACATCGTCGATTTTACCGACGAAAGATACAATATGTAACAGCACATTCATGAATGACACAAAAATGATAAGCAAAATAGTAATTTTAATGATGATGGTATCGTGAGTGACAATTGTAATAATGGTCAACGAGAACGACGTGATGGTTGGTATTGTCGATGTTGATCAAAACATCGATAACGAGACTAAAGAGGAGGCAGAACGGTAAGGCATTTGCATTGGTGTCGCATCGCTCTACCTCCTCTTCTTCCTCCGATGTTACTTTGTATCCACGTCGATACTAAAAGAGGTAGGTGAGGCATTTGCGTTGTCGACAACGAGGAGGAAGGAGGAAGAGGGGGCAAGTGAGGCAAAGCGGTACAACGTCGGAGGAAAAGGATAGATGTGAGACATTTACAACGGTGTTGCGCCACTCTACCTCCTCTTGCTCTTATAGCATTGTTCTACATTTGCTTCGACATTGGAGGAAAAAAAAGAGGCAGGTGAGACATCTATGTCGGAGGAGGAATAGGAAGCAAAGCGGTGTGGTATTGACGCAAATGTCTCATCTACCTCTCTTCCTCCCTTCCCGTCATCACTAACACATATGCCTCACCTCCATCATCTTCCTCCTTCGGCACTAATGTAAATACCTCACCATTTTACCTCCTCTATTTCTTCGTTATCAATGTCCGGATCAACATCAATAAGATCGATCGCTATATCGCTCTTACCAACCATCACCATAACAGACATCAACGGTGTCATCATCCACTATAATCATTAAATTATCTTTTTACTTATCGTTTTCATATCATTTATGTATTATATCTTTTATTAGTAAAATCGATAGCATAAACGATTCACTTTTATAAATATAAAGATTTTAATATAAATTTCTTAAATATAAGAACCGTAATGCTAAGGAAATGTAACTACCTACTGTAATCTATAATTAGCCCCGCGGGCCCCACATGCTTCAGCACAAATCTTAAGGCAGCGTCCGTGAGTGCGTGCGCGCGCGCGTGCTTGTGTGCGTGTGAAAAGTCTGGTGACTGGAACAAACGAATATAAATAGATGTATGACAACACCACCAATAGGCAAAGTCAAAGGTGACAGACTCTTCGCTCTACTGCAGTCAACCATTGCATTCTGTTCAAGTGCAGCATGATCAGCAGATGAAGTCAAAGCGTAGATAGCCAACATAACATCTTTTTATTTTGGGATAATTCAGTGGCATCATATGAATTGCATAACTCGTTTCCTTTTTGGAGCTGCAAATAGCCCGTATTAACTAGCAAATGACTTGTGTTTTGATCATCAAGAAGAAAAGAATACAATGTGACATCGATCAAGAGGAGTGGTGTCTTTGAGATGGATGGATTGAAATGTATCAGAATGAATCATGGAATCATAAATCAAAAACATTTACCATCTCAAATCAACTCTATTGGAAATGGTTTAATACTTGGGGTAAGATTGGTCATGCGGGCGATGTGTTAAGCTTGTATATATTGTTATACAGTTCTGGAAATGAACAGATCGTGTGTTTGTCAAATTATGAAACTATTGTAAATTCTCATGTGAATAAGCTTTCTTGTCCCAACTCATTAAATTTCCAAATCCTATCAGATTTATACAACTGATATGCAACCTATACTGAATCTTCTCCCTCGTCCCACTACAAAACTCGAAGCCCAACAAGCACTATCTGCACAACTAAAACATGGTCCAGCTACCTGGGTGTGAAGTCTCTCATGCTGGCTTGAGGTGAAGGGAGAACGTAGCTGGTGGCTTGAAGCGAATCACCAAAGAGTAGCAGAGAAACCTAGTTGTCAGTTTCATTTCTTTCAAACTCCATGGGTGGCAGAAGGAGAAAGGCCAATCTTTGTTTGCAACGTTCCAGCCTCCGAAGGCGTTCTTTTTGCAACCTACATCAGATAAGAAAGCAGGAGATTAGGTTTATCATTTATCAGAGTCCTGAGAGACTAATTAGCTACAGCAAATGCTTTCCCTGAAAACTGATGCATTCACATAAAAGTAGTTTTTAGAACAAAGGGATCTTCCTTTTTATCAGTGGTCATCGAGCAAGGCATCTGATGCACCAGGTAAGGAGCAAAGCAAGAATGTACATGACTTGCTACGATAATTGCTTTGTGCAATGCACTAAGCAGTATCTCCATGGTAACTCACAAATTTGTGGATTTTATTTTATTTTTTATGTGCACTAATAGAAGCACATATGGCATGCTCTTGGGGAAAAGGCAGTATTATGTCTCTTTCTACCAATTTGCTGCTGGAAACAAATGCCAAAGCATGCAGCTGATGCTAGAGTGTGCCTATGTGACACTAACCTTCAGATATACTTCGAACGTATAAATCACAAACAAGGAAAGGGCAAAAGATCTTAAGCAAACAAATGTCAGCGACAAGGCCTTAGAACTAATAATAGCTTACTCAGCACCATAATTTACAGCTTTCATTGTTTGCTAAGGAATATTTTAATATACAAATTGAATAGACACAGAAGTTGGTTTAGACTATTATATAATCCAGCACTCTAGACACATCATTATGTATAGACAAGTGACATATCAAAATCAACATTATATATACTCAGGAAGGTCATGATGGAACACTGAAGTCCATGTAAAAGCAAATAACAAAATATGTTAGATATATGGTCTTTCGTCTCGGACCAACTTCTTATTCCAGTAGTCTCTTAAAAAAGGACACATTATTATCAACTCTTAGTAAACTATCCCTGTATATGTTAGTCAAGCAATTGCCATGATCCAAAAAGAAGTAAAAATTTCCAGTAACAGACTTATTAACCAAAGCCTCAACTTCAAATCGGTAGATATTACAAAATGATGTAGAAGGTTATGACAAAATAAACAGATAGAACAACATATTAGGTAGGAAGTGTACCTTGCTCGAACTCTCTTAGCATGATTTATATGTATTTCTAACAAATCATGTGCAGATAACTCCTCAACACAACCTACAGGCTGCAAGTTAATCTCATATTTCAATAAAAGTACATCTTTGATATTATGATTCCACAATTCTAGCAGCTAAGAAAAAAAGAGTTGCAAGCAAAGGAGGATACATAAAGAAAAAGGCTAAAACTATGGACAATAAAAGGTTGCAAGATTTATTTAGTAAAACAATTGCTTGAGATAAAGTATCCAATTTCTTTTATCCTCATTTCCAGTGCCCTTTTCTAAAATCCTAATAAGTGGTTTACTAGCAATATGATCCAAGGAAAGAACAAGGTAAATAGATTGCACAAAAATAAAAGCATAACCATGTAAGAATGCTTGTTGGTTGCTGTAAATAACTATTTGATATTTGGTTAACAAAAATAGGCAGTTCATTGTCCCCACCAGACTGCCAAAACGTCATGCTAGTCATAACAATGTTGGCTCATGGTTACAACTAAAAGGCACAAGACATGATGGCAATAATACTGAAACTCAAACAAATTTGCAGCATAAATGTCTGGAAGCTAAAAATTCTAGGCCTCTAAGACAAATGTTCATGTATATATGTACAATGAGACCATTGTTACTAAATTTGAACAATGTGTCATAGAAAACCAAAGTGGCAAATTATACAGCAAGTTATAGTTATCTATGAAACTAGACAAGATTTACAAACAAGTGTAGCATATCAAATGCTTATGGATTATACTAATTTTGCAGACACCACGTCAACTCTCTTGATAATGGTGGTGTTATGTTGTTTTGGTTATCTTCATATCTTAACTCACATCTAAACCTTCTCTTCGTTGCATCCACACGAATGCCTTTGCATGTTGGCATTGTATTTCCTCATTAAGTTTAATCACAATTTTCAGTCTTAATCCAAAAGCAAAAGCTTAAGAAATATTGTGATGTTCTCCTTCAATTAAGCAATGCTAACCAAGCTTATATATACAATATAAAGTAGCTCTATTCCAATAGGCAAGGTTAAATGAATTAATGTTACACAACAGACCTCTTCATTGTTGACATCTTCAGTTTCAGTAACATCTTCATGCTGCTTCATCACTTGAGCATCAAACATGGATAAATGCAAAGGTATCGGAATGGGCTTCTCAGTGTTGGCGAAGTTTAACTGCAAGAAGTAATATGAAGAATTAAAAAAAAAGTAAAAGAAAAGAAAAGAAAAAAATTGCTAATTGTTGACATAGTATCCAATCCTAACTGAAGCCACACATCTTGAAATTTCCAACCACCAGACTACACACCCCTGGCCTGCTTGCACCCGTACCACAAAAATAAAATTATTGATTTCTACTTATTGCCATGCAGAGATTTCTTTTATATATGTTCTATAAAACTTTTCTGTGGGACCTAAAGCATACAAGCAATTACATATGTGCCGAATGCTTAGAAACACCTAGCTGATTCAAATATGGAGGAGCAAATAATGAGCAACACATTATCATTAAAAAAAAAAAAAAGTTAAGTACTAGACCAAGCATAGAAGCCCCATATGCATAGCCACAAAGAACATCAGATAAAAAATTTGATAGGCAAAGAACACTAGCGTATTTGGTATAGCAGAAATCATAAAGCTTTTTGGTAAAAAGAAGGATATATTGAAACCTTAATTTCATGAGGTTGGCCATTCCGCATCCAAGAACGACAAAGGGAATAAAGGGAGGGCGAGCAACCATCCAGTACTCTGACCTTCAATAGGCATAAAGATCACCATCAGTAATAACCATTACATATATTGTAGACTAAATCTGTTTAAATAATCACACCAAGGTTTATATATTTCTGCCAATTACTGCACACAACATATCTAGCTTATTTCAACAAACAGCAAAGTGCTAAAAAAAAGAGATTTTCCTTGTGTTGTACAACAACTTGAAAATTTAAGTGAGCACAATCCATGAAACTGCCCTCTGTCAACATAGCAATTTACACACAGCAAAATATACTGTACTTGTATCCCTTTGTCCTCTTACAAATTGTCACATCTTCACAAGCTCGAGTTTAAAATACTCACCAAAAGTAATTGATGTCATTTGGCAACTCTTAGGTAACTTAATTTTTTTTAAAGGATGCTTGATGAGAAAAGAATATGGTTGAAACTATATGCAAAATGGAAATATGAAGAAAGCAAACTTCTTAGAAATAAGAAATGTGTCTGTGCATGATTAGATACCTGGAAAAAGCTCCAATAATTTCTATTAAAAGGTCAAAATGGTATGAAATAAAAAATGAAATACATTAAAGAATTAAGCTCATCAGCCAGAAATAACCAAATAGCTAGCCCTGAAATATAACAATGTAAGCCTCAAAAGAAAGTTCTTAAACAATTGAACTTCTTGCCAAATTGAAATCTCAAGCATTACACATGAACAACATACTGCATAGGATCTAAAAAAATTCAACACCTAGCCCCAACAAATCATATTAGCACAATTTTGCAAAGTGACCATGTGTTTGGCTGGCAAACCGCTTAATATAGGCCTTTAGAATATTTTTTCTAGAAAATCAAGTAAACAGATATAGAAATTACACAATATATTATCCAATAGTAAGAAAGCATCCTATTTTCACTTAGACAAGCTTCGAGATCAGGTATCCTTCTAGCAGAAACAACTAAAATGAGAATAAATTGCACGATTTTTATCATGTCTAATATAAAAGGAAAGTTGCTGTTGTGACATACAAAGGCCTGAAATTAGCATATGTCTTTCTCCATAAGACTCAACAAATATATTCCCCCAGCTATCTTTATTCATATGAACATAGTAATCCACCTAGAGCTGGTAGCAATCCAGCTTTCTTCCTGAATAGCACCATATTTTATAATTCCAAGCACAACAATAGCTTATAAAAAGCAATCATACATAAAATATATTTTGAATATATCACATACACAAATGAACCAAATTTGTTCGTCTTCCTTATGAAGTCAATAGAGGTATTAAAAGAATGCCTAAGTTTTGCTTACTTTTCGATCGTGAATGACCACAACATCATCTTCCCTACTCTCGTCCCTGCATATAAATGAACATCATCGGAGTTCGCAGGCAGAAAGCCATTAATGAATTTGAAAGAAATAATGTAAATTGCCACTTACCTCTCCTTGCAGTTATTGTGCTCTGGTGTTGAAGACACTGAAGAGAGTATTGCAGCCTGAAAAGTTAACGTTAGATAGCAATGAGCGTGAACGTGTGATGCAAATTAGAGATCGACCCCCTTGTTTTCTAGCAAGTTGAGTATGACAAGAGCCCAACTATGAAGTATGAATGCTAATTTCTATAGATTACGAAGATATATGTGATTATCATGAAATATAGGAAAATACAGATATCATAACATAATGCCCAGAGAAGAAAGGGATGTGGGGGGAATCTGTATAAGGGTATTGCAAACCTTTAGTTGCGTGGCTACTGGAGCGCTCCTAGAAGCACCTGCGGCAGTGACCACGGGCCTCGGGACCACGATCGGCGTCACGGGCTGTGAAGTCGAGGGTGGCAAACGCGGCCTCACGTTGCGGACCGGACGATCGACTGGGCCACAAGCAAAGGGCCCGGACTGGGTAGCGGCGGCGAAGGTCATCGCGGCTGCGGGGGTTGCGTTCCTGGTGTACACGGCAGGGTTGGCCACCGCGACGGACTGATCCGAGGCCGCCGGGGCCGGCCCGGCAGCAGGCGTCGTGGCGAAGCCCCGTTGATGGTAGAGGAATCCCTGAGGCGGCGGTGGAGGCGGAGGGTGGCCAAGGGGTTTGCTGAGCGGCTGGGAGGAGAAGGGCGGAGCGGGAAGGAGAGGAGGGGATGCGAAGGGTCGGGAGAGGAGGTGCGTGGCGGACGAGGGATCCGAGGCGCCCGAGGTAGTTGCGGCAGCCGCAGCGGCAGAGACGGGCGGTGCTGGGGAGGGAGTCGCCATGGCGGGGGTGTGGTGATTTCGCGAGGTGGTCCAAACACCCCCAACAAATAGGGTACCTCGTCGCCATCGTTGAGATCTTCTCCCTTTCAGAGTCGATTAATCACGTGCGCCTCACGTGTCCATCCGATTGAGTGTACGTGTACTCGGATAAGAAATCTCCCACAGGCCAACCTCATTGTCGAATGGATTTTCCTCTCTGGCCGTCTACAGAATAAGATCAACCTGAACAGCACTTTCCTGAATCTTTGACGACATATATTGAAGAATTCAAGTCACAGCAGCAAGTAATCTGCCATCATCGGAAGTTACAAATTGACGTGGACATGAGCAAAGAAAGAACTGTATGTAGCAATCGAAATGTAGCGACTGCCCTATTCACAGCTTAGACTTGGAAAAGAAACATTCAAATCGGTGACCAATTAAACGTGACATGTACAAGTTGAAAGTTTCATGAATGACTGCGGCCGGCGCTTCGTTTGGAGTTCAAAATGGAACGATCCTCTTGTACCTCTTAGCACAGGCTGCGTACATCAAAAGGTTCAAACAGCTCAGCCCCGCAAGAAGCCAGAAGTAGTAGTCGAGGTGCCCCTCGTTCAAGTTATCAGGAATCCATCCCGCGTTCCCTCCCCAAGTTGTCAGCGATGTCACTGCAGTCACGATCAAGGAACCCAAGTAGCTTCCCAGCGCAGTCGTAAGAAGTGATAATGCACTGCACAAACTTCTCATGGTATTAGGGGCCTGATCATAGAAAAATGTGAGCGAGCCGACGTATGTGAATACTTCTGCTGCTCCGATCAAAGAATATTGAGGTGTCTGCCACATAATGCTCAATGGTATGGCCACTTTCTCGTGCACTAAACCCTCAGCATGGGCTATGTCCAGTCGCTTGATCTCCACCAGCGCAGCCGCTACCATTGCTAGTATAGATATGAAGAGGCCGATGCCCATCCTTTGCAAGTCTGAAAACCCTCTCTCCTCGCCTGTGAACCTCCTTGCCACCGGAACAACAATATTATCATATAATAGCACCCATACAATGACACTGATGACATCAAAGGTTGACATAGATGCAGGTGGAATGACGAAGGAGCCGATGGACGTGTCCATAACCATCCCTTGTACAACGAACAGAGTAGACATCTGTGCAAAAACTGCAGAGAACACTATGGTGGTTGCCCAAACAGGGAACATCCTCGTAAGAATCTTCAATTCTTCCACCTGAGTGACTGTGCACAACCTCCATGGATTTATAGAGTTACCGTTCTCCCCATCAAGATCTGTCTTTGTAGCAGCCTTGTCGAGGAATCTGCAGTAGGTAACAGTTAATAATGCGTAGTCCAAATTCATGTAGACCATGAATTTCACAGATAAAGGGACACATAAATAGGTAGTAGCTCAAAATAATTAAGAAGCTATTTTCTAAAATTAGTTCCTTGTTACATTTAACGTTTGGTGCTGATACCACTATTATAAACAATAAATGAAATAAGCATACTGTTTACTAATGGTCTAATGCACAATAATGAATCTGAAATCCTAAAGCTTAGTCCATATGATTGAATACAATATCCTTATATGTCATTTGCGCAAACTAAACTGGAGTTGACAGATTATTAATGTCACCTAGAAATTCTAAACATCCCTCTAATGCTTCTGTCCTCTTAGACGTGACATCAAACAACAAGGTACATGCACAGCGCAACGTCCAAGAAGTTTACCGAAATACCGGTCAGAGATGTTAGAACTTAAAAAGGCTTTTTAGAACATCCTAAAAAGAAACATCATCACTCCCACCACACACAAAGGACAATTCAGTGATAGAAGTGCTCGACTGTTTGAGCATTAAATTCCATCAAACACAAAGCACCAACTGCTTAGGTTTGTTGTAAAACATGCCGTTTGAAGCACGATCGTCAATGTTTTTTTATAATATTAAAAAACATGATCTCGTGCATAAGTATCCAATCATAGGATATTATATACAGTGCATAAGTCCAAGTTTAACTAGCTCTGATAACTGATATAATGATTCCTATCCAATAACTTTAAAAGTGCAGTTATACAATGATATTCCAATTGCAGTTACACAACTGGAAACATAAAATTCCAAGGATAACTAAAAAAGAAAGGCAAGAGAACCTCATTAAGCAAATTTGGAAGCCATATCTCTTTGATGGATTCAGTTCTTTAATTTCCTCATAATCAATAAAAATTGGATTAATTCAGTTCTATAATTAATCAAGTTAAGCATTTAGCAAGCAAAATCAAAGTTGTTATGGAAGTTGAGTTATTTACTTAAGGTCATCTGTGTGCTTCAGCTGTCGATTTCCTTCAATTGCTGGGGCATCTCCCCGTACTTCATGCAGGAGAGAACTGTCATCAGGGACATCTACTTTCCGCTTGCGAAAAGAGGCAACAATCACCTGGCACATTCTTGAAAGAGGGTTTCCACCTGGTTTTTGGAATCTATAAAGTGAGGTGCCTAGGGTAAAACTACATATGGCTAATCCCAGGAACACTGTAGGAATTCCAAAGCCCCAGCCCCATCCACACGTGTCTTGCACCCAAACTAAAAAGCTGCTGGATATGAGAGCTCCAATGCTAATAGATAAGTAAAACCAGTCAAAGAAAGATTGCTTCCTTCTTCGCTCATCTTCATCAGTATCATCAAATTGATCAGCTCCAAATGAAGAAACACAAGGTTTAATTCCACCAGTTCCCAGTGCAATAGAGTAGAGTCCAATGAACAGAATCGCATACTGAACCGCACTTGCTTTTGGGCAAACAGATCCTACACAGGGTGGAGGCTTAAAAGCAGGAACAGTTGCTGAAAGGGTCAACGTGGCCAATCCCTGTGTTCAATAAAGCAGCATTTATCATATTATCTTTGTAAAAAAGAAACAGCATCATGACACATTACTCTAAACAGCACATGGATGACCATTGCACAAGTAAGAGACAGCACCAACCATACTTACAATAAAATATATTGTTGAAAACACTGCTATTGTCCGGTATCTTCCCCAGTATGCATCAGCTAAAATTGCACCAATTAATGGGGTCATATAGCAGGTTCCTTGCCAAGTCGTAACCTTTCTTGCAGCAGAAACATTCGCCTCATGAAACTTTTTCTTCAGGTAAGTGACAAGATTTGTCGATATTCCATAGTAGGCTAATCGTTCGCAGCACTCGTTCGCTAAAATTTGTGATTTGAAAATAAGCAGTCACTTTATGTAGATTTAATAAAGAAAAGGACTCGACTGTGGCCAGTTAATGTACATACCTAGAATGAAAGGACAAGCTTTCCAGTTGCCTGTGCCATCCTTTGGTATGGGGTTCCCTTGCATGTCCACAGATCCATCTCCAGTGTATGGTCCGTTATTTACATTCTTCAATTACAAAGTCAAGAACAAACTGGTGGTGAGTTAAGGTCACATGGAGGCCATGTTATCATGGGAAATATAATCAAGATATTTTGGCTGAAACTACCCAAGCCAGTCAAGAAAACGCTCATCAAACAAGTTGTATGTTCATCAAAATAACTCGAAATTGCTGATTAATGAATATATGGTACTCGAATTATAGAGGAATTAAATGTAAAGTAGTCAAAGATTATTTCTAACAAATAGTTTGAAAACTGAAACCCTATTGTATTAACCTTTCAGTTGAGCTTTTTAATCCACCCTCCCCTCCTCTCGTTTTCAAAAAGATGAATTAAATCTCATTACATAACTTAGAGCTTCAGGATCAAGGGCTATCTATCGTATCGTACGAGCTATTTAGTAAACCATTCTTTAAAAAAAATAGCACAAAAAAATTGCATGGATAAACATAGATCTAGATTCCATTAATAAATTATTTTAATATTCACTTTGATAAAAAAAAATATTAGATGAAAATATACAAAAAATTATGTTTTTATTCTTGAACATTACTAGTCAAATCTATATATACATATATATACATAAATGTATATATATATGTACATATATATACATATATGTATATATATGTACATATATATACATATATATATATGTATATATATATATAATTCTAGGTTGCTAAAATTATTCATTGTTTCTTCAATCGATTCATATGTTAGAATATTTCAAAAAGATGCTAGTTGTATATTATGTTCAACATAGTTGATGTTCAATTTGGAGCCTCAATGATTCATGTTCTGCAGATAGAACAGAGACCACAATCCACCTCAAGGATTATAACTCGAACTCTCTCCACATATGTGTATAATGCATGGACAAAGATTAGCATATAAATTTTCACCTACTTTTCTTAAATTAGTTCCCAAAAATATATGTTGGTATGTTTGTGAATTCAATCTAAATTTAGAGCTAAAATAAAAAAATAAAAAGAAAATGTTTTAAAAGAGCTAGTAGGCCATTAATTGTGTTGCTGTCCATTTTAAAATTTTTCTATGAGTAGGAAACAAAGAAGTCACACAAATCGAAACTAACAAAATAGAACAAGACTTGTTCTGATGCTTATTATATGAATAAGGCAACTATATTAACTATCCCGAACTATTTAAATTCAATGTCATATCAGAAAAATATGCTAACACTACGGTGAGGGGGTTTTAGTGGGCCCACCAAATTCTCCAATGGGCATGGCATCGACAATGACAAATTGCCATGAGATCAACAGGCCGAAACTGCTTCATACACGTTATCATGCGACAGGTGGCCCAGTGTATCCTCTCATCAACAACGTCCCAACTGAAGTAATGGAGGATCAAATCTAACCCATATGGGGTAGCCTACCAGTGTAGGCTATAAGAAGGAACTTCTTCCCCAGGTAAAGGGGATTGATTCCTTGCTTCTTGTGCCCTTACAATTTCGAAAACTCTACCTCTACTTATTGACCATCTGAGACTAAGTTCCGACTTCAGTGACCAACTACACTCCCAATGTCTCCTATGTTTCGGAAGATTAACTTTGAAGGTTAAATCCTCTGTAGAGTGAACCATGACTCAGCTCAATCCGATTCAAAACTCGTCACTCACCGCCACACCTTGGTTACAATAGCCTCAGCTA